TGAATGCTTTGTATAAGTAATTCCTGCTTTGTTTGTACGTACATCTAACCCAACTTGTTATTTAGAGTAATATGAGTATGCTCCACCCTGTGTGCTTACCATTTTTTGTAAAATATTATTTTTCGTCAATTTAAATTTATACTTATCGATATTTTGATGCTAGTCTTCCAAAATGTCTGTGTTACATCGGTGATCATTCAAAACGCGATATCCATTGTTCGATTGCACCGAATCATGTAACACGAGTGCCGTACAATAAAGCATATTGTTTCACACAAATACACAATACTCCTCCATAAACTATAACAATAATAATGTATATTAATATTAGAGAATGGTCTGTACGTTATCGCATAATGGTTTCCACGTGTATTAAACTTTGGTGACCATTCTACCTACATAATATTAATGATAATAATATTATGTAAATGCAGGCACCTAACCCGGCCACCCAAAATATTTACAGACCACCCCAATAGCCCCCCAAAATATTGATAAAATACCCAAGGTTCAAATGATTGAGTAAAAAAGTTAAACCAAATTCAAAAATGTCTATTATTATATTATTTGTTATTATTACATAATTATCTTTAACGCTGTGTTCTCACAACGATTACAAATATGAACATAACCAGCTAGTAATTTATCGCATTAGATACAATTGTATTTTCGAACATCATGGTCTGATTGTAGGACAAAATACATCTATATTATGAACCCACATTCATATTTCATTAATTCGGCATCTCCCGTCACGACATCATTGCTTGGTAGTTGGTTAGCGATAGTTAGTTTGGTACCATGATAATTATTAAGCCGGGTTCACACTACACCGCTTCGTGTAAAACAATCACAGTTACCACAGACCACAGTAAGTTACCAAACGATACCGCATAGTTGAATATATTAAACTCTAAAGCCGGGTTCACACTTGACACTACCATGACTTTTAGTGTGAAAATTCAATAAGTACCCAAGAGGGGGGGGGGGAGTAAATTTTGTCTTCTCAAGGAAAATGTTGGTGATAATTAGGCAACACTATTGTGTAATTCTAGCTACGTGCCTGAGTAAATCAAAAAAATCAATCAATCAATCCATCAATCAACTTATGATGGTCCGAAAATTGTTTCGATAGCAATAGAAGTATTTGCCAACACCGACAGTTTAAAAATAAACGATATCGATGAAAGTAACAATACATTAATTTATGAAATTATATGTAAGTGTGATAAGCTAATAATTTTAAAATTTGTGGAACACAATAGTTCCTTACAACAGATTTACAAAATAAATTTCGAATAATAAAATAAATACGGTAATATTCCGATTCATATAATATTAGTTCCTATCTACTTTAGATTTAAAAATACCTATATGTATCACCGAGTGTATGGTCAACAATCATTTTTGAAAGTTATGACGAAAATATTTTCAATAACCAAACGGAGTATATTATTGTAGCCTGTAGGTACCTATACTAACACTGAGCTTAGAATTATCCTGATATTATTTTAATTCAGCTACAGGTACGTCGTATTGGCATATAATAACGATTAGACTACGCAAACAATATATTACGCTTTAAGGCTATTACATATATTATATCAACAATAGAAAATCCCATAAAATATTTAACGCACAAATTATGTTATATAGGCAGTATATATACATATCTATATTCTGTACAAACATCAACGTTAATCGAGTAAATAAATTTAATTTCTAGACACTTAAAAAAATCGAAGTGGTCATTGTAATCCCAAAGACCGCACGACAGCTATCGTAGGTAGGTACGTGTTATTTTAGACTTAATACATTATTGAATTATTCAACGAGTCGTGTTCCTGAATGTTACACGATTTATGTGTAACACGAAATAACACATAGGTACCTAAATCATATAGAACATATTATACGTATAACGTATTATATTATTATTATGAGATTATAGTTAGCAACTTTAGATTAGTTGACAAAATAATTTGGTACATTTGCCAAAGTACAAGAGAAAGTTTTGAAAAAGTTAGACGATTTTTATTTATGATTATTGTTTTATCGGTTTTATTATTGCCACCTACTAGCGAGAAACCTTATTAGTCTGAAGTCTCGTCTAAAACAGATACATCACCTAATCCCCAAGTTTGTGTAAAACGTTTCGTCAGATACATAGCCATATAGAGCTACACATATTATAGAGGAGTTTTAAACAGCCTGCGTTACAATAATATATTATTATGTGGGTAATAAAGTATAAAATATAACACGTTTTTCCACTTCCTGGTAGTCGATGACAATTTTATTTTTTTTACTTTTGTTTTAAGATTCAGCTAATGAACAGCCTTGTTTATTGCATGAACCGAATAGCACATGGGTTGAAAATGATAGATCTATCCCAACGCGTTATAGTCAAAACCCACAAGACTTCAATCTGGTCTGTTTATCAAATGTGAAGTTGTTCGATACCTTAATTGGTCTAATAATAAGGTACCTAGACTTACTACCTACTTATATTATGACAAATGACAAGTAATAATAAAAAATATTCATAATACTATTACTAAACAAATGATTTAATACGCATGGCTTAAAATACAATGTGGGTACTGTATACGTTTATTACACGTGTGTGTGGCAAGGTTTTGTCACTAAAAATCCTAGGTGGACACCCATCCGGGACCTAGCGACACCGGCCAGTGCGTACACTCAGAACGGGTTTTGTAACTGAATGCACACACCGAGCAACAAAAAAAAAAATATTTTGATGTTGGCAAATAGAAGTAATTTAACGAATAAAAAATGTGTATATTTTATGAAAAGGTCCAATTATATTTTACCGACCGTCTTGTGAAGATCCATAATAATAACAACCAATAATCGAAAAACAAAGTCAAAATTAATTTCGGCCAAACGCTTTCTTTTAAAACAAATATTGTTGGTCGAGTATCGTCTACGAAGTATAATTTAAATTTTAAGTATAACATAATGTATGACGTACATGCGATATACATACTTGATATTTATATAGAATTTTCTATACAATAGGTATACTCATAACTCGTATGTGCTTTGTAGTAATAATTTGCTTCGGTGCAAACTTTAAGTAGAAATGTATAATATATGGCCCACTTCGTGGCGTCACTTTTCGATTAAAAATTTAAAAATTTACCTTTTCTGCCGCAATAAAAAAAAAAGTAATAATTTTGCGTATATTTCATACATCACGCGCGTTATTATGCTTACGATCGCGTGCCACATTATTACCTACAACCACAATAATGTTTTTATTTAACAATATATATCTACGCCACAGCTTTCGTGTATAATAGCGGACCACAACAACGGTATAAATATAATTCTGACCTAGTACAACCCTCTGTGATTTTTTTTTCACCCTCCGGGACACCACTATTATTAGTATACCCACAGTAAATCGTATACTTACCTACTTTTAGTTTTGATTAGTCTTACACCTTAGCGTCAGATCAATATGCCGGCGGTCACGGAGTTAACAACATTTTAACGCACGATTATAACATGTACCCACCTATTTCCAAAGTTGTTAATTATCAAAATCTTTTCAATAAAGAACAAATTTTTTTTAACTAAATAATTTTTATACATAATATGCACATAGTTTTTTTTCATTCGATATTAAGTACTAAATATGTATACCAAATCAACTAATTTATTCATTTAAATAAATTTAAATGCATTATTATTATTATTATTATTATTATTATTATTATTATTATTTATTTATTATTTATTACTAAATACAATAAAGTACTCGAAACCACTGATAAAAATATAAATGTTTTATTAGTAGGTAAAGATAATTCTGTAATATTAATTTCCATGAAATTATAAACAAGAAAACATCAAATATATTTCGTTACAGCTTAAATCATAGTTCAGTCATATAAATATGTAGAGCAAAAATATGTCCATTTTACAAATACATATTGAAACTATAATAAGAATATTTTATAGTATTATTTTCAAACAAGATAGTAAATAAATTATTAACAAAAAAAATATAATTTATGGGATATGACTTGTAAAAAACATACCTTTTTTTGACTCGTACAAACTATATACATAATAAAACCGTCGAGGAATCTATTTTAAGGGTTTACTTTTGAAAATAAAGTTGACAAATTTTATAGCTGCAACAAAAATATTATTGGTTTAGTGGAATGAAAAAAAAAACATGAAATTATTTTATATGATAAAATATCTCAAATTTTTATTAATTTCTTAATGCTTTACTAAAAATTATTAATTATAAGAGTGTTTAATTTATGTACACTATACGTCTATACCACTATAGTCTATAATATGTGATGATTTATGCAAATTTAAATTTAAAAAACAACCATTTTTGATCGAAAGATAAGCGCCTACTGAGATTAATAATGGTATATTGATACATTAAACTAGTTTCAAATTAAAAGAAGTTGGTATTTTCATAAAAGGATAATTTATTTAAGTATACATAATATTTTTGTATTATAGAATTCCATTGCATCTAGATTCTTTAATAAATTCTAAAATGCTAGAATAATGAAAAATAAGATTTAAACTGCAGTATGAAAAATACTCAAATTGAACAAATGGCACCTGCAACGGTAATCTGATAAAATATATTATAAATTAAACTATGCAGTTATGACATATGAGTAAACACCACGTCGTTTTACATAGGAATTAATATTTTTTTTAATTATTTTAAAATGAATTAAACAATATTGCATTGTTATATATTTGTGTAGTATCGTTTTTTTTTTTTTTAATTATTAAAAGTTCAATTAACATATTGTACCAAAAGTGCTTATGTAACTATAGTTAATATCGACTAAAATTACGTCAATTAATACAAATATATTAAATTAAATACCCTTTTATACAACCATACTGTATAGCATTGTTTTGAACCGTCATGATTTTTTATTGTATTAATAATAATATTATTATGATGTGTTTGTTTCAGATGCCATAGAATGGAACGAATATGGAGGCTGCTACAAGCGGCTTCCTTTCTCGTACCGTTACTACAAAACGTGTTATCAGATAGCTCAGACGTGTAAGTAAAATTATAAAATAAAAAATGACCCAACAATAATAACTATTATCGTATTCAAAAAAAAAAAACCAAAAAAGCTATATGTTTGCTAAAAAGTAAAAACTTATCAGGACTTAGAAGCAAAAATAGATTTATAACACATTGTATATTATAATGCCTTTCTTGATGTTCTCTTTCCACTGAACTGTTTGAGTATTTTGATAAACAAAACTGAGTTTTTAAAGACAGGTTAGAGTTAGGTGCCTACGTCCCAATAATAATTAAATATTATATAATTTCAATCTCACTTACAGACCGAGGACTGTCGTTTACATAAATAAGAGTTACAAGTAGGATATTTTGAACACTACCATCTTTGAATATTATAATTTTAAAAATTATTAAAAGCAAACTGATAGCCATCGATAATGTATAATTGTTTACTTTTTTCACTTAAAATTTTAACGGCTTTCATTATTAATTAATAAATTTCAATTTCAAAAGTTAAAAAATGTACAACATCGCTATCATAGGTTGTTAAAACCTAAGTACAAAATTAAAGTTCAGCTATATCGGATATATTATAGCTGGACGCAGTTCAGTAGTCATGCTTATATAATATTCTTTTTGAACGCAATTTGAACTCAGTCATATAAACAAGAATATGCAAAAATAATAGTCCCATTGCTTCACTTTTTATAACAAATGGTTTCCTTGTTTTACTTTAATCAAAATTCAAGTTTTGTGAACTGTATACATAATATAGATAGTTGTAAGTTATCAAAATGTTCAAATGTTCCAAGTTTAAAAATCTGTATATTTTAATTTAACCTATGTATTTACATTATAATTACACGAATTTTTTTATATTCTGTAGGATGAATCAATGTGTATTTTAAACCAATTTAATGATTTTAACTTTCTATTGATAATAGTATATGTTTGCGGATCGTCTGTATTACAGAGTATTAAATAAGTTTTATAGTTTAAAGCAACTTACGACATATATTATATAATTGTTATAGAACTTTAACTGTTTGAATTCATTAAATATTTTACTTAAGGTTTGAAAATGGAAAATCAGACAAAGAGATACTTGATAATTTGGTGAACCCAAATAGATATGACAAAAGATTATTGCCACCAGTGGACGGTAAGTAATTTTCAATCGATTATTTACTTTAAACTTAATGAGGTGGAAGCCTTAATAATAATTCTAAAAAGTACTTTTTAATTTTTTTTTGCTTTAAAAGATTACTGTGTAAATGTGGAGTTAAAAAAAAAAAGCAAAACAAAATATATAGCAATATACTCCAATTTTAGAGTCGATTACCAAAAAACAATTACGTTATTTATTAATCTTTAAGGATAGCCTAAAAAGGAAATGAGATAGTCATAATATAATATTATGTTTCATCAAATTCAGCGTGAAAAAACTTTATTACATTTTTCAAAAATCTTTTTTTTTTAACTAATTTCCTATGTGTAAAACCTGAAATGTCACTATACATTATAATACCTAGGTGTTGTCATTGAGTAGGTCACTGTAGTGGATGTTAAATTTAAATTAAATGACAAATAAATGCATACGAAAAACGATTGAGTAGAGACGGTGGATTAATTTTTTTTATATTTTATACTAAAAATAAATACATTTTTATAATTTTTTTTATTATTACATTTTATATTAATGAACATAATAACTTATTTAATAGTTGATTGTAGGTATCTAAAAATTATAGTAAACTGCAGTTACCGATTCCATTAAAACATAGTTTTATGGTTAATAATTTTGTCTTAAAATGCATTAATTGTCAGTAGGTGCCCTAGACTTTTACCAATTTTTTTTTGATAAATACCTATCGTATTAAAGTCCTTTAATTTGTATATTTAAAACAGACAACTTCCCATTTTTTTTTCGTTTTATTAAAGTTCTTTAATTTTGTATGCATTTATACATTTTTTATAAATATATTTTTTGATTTTTAAAATTAATTTGATTGCGGGTGTTTCTGTACCTTTTGCCAATTTATATTTCCTATATTATAGTCAAATTAATTAATTTTTATATGTTTTCTAGCGAACTCTAAGTCACATCTGAATCACTCGTTTTTGAAACTTAATTGTTAATAGTTTTTTTGAGTTAAAAATCTGCATAGATTGCGGTATCCGATTCCGACTGAACATAATTTTATAGTTAGTTTATTGTTTTTTTTTTTTGCTTTTTAAAATGTATTTGGCTGCGGGCGCCCGTGTTCCTATCACGATTTTTTTTTCTTTATACATTATGCTCGAGTTAATTAATTTTTTATACTTTTGCCAGTCATCCCCGAGTGACCTCTGAATAATCATTCATTAATGCATTTTCCTGCCGGCGCCCCGAGACGTAGTATTGACACAGTGATAATGAATTGTTTAATTTAATAATTTACACAATAAATACTACCTAATAAAATGTTTATGAAGTAAATATACACGCGTCGTGAATAATATGTATGAATGCGGAATATTGCAAGCTTTAAAATGTATAATTATTCGTGGTTAAAAATATTGCATATATTTTCCAGAAACCTTAAAAAAAACATGAATAATTTATATAAATGTATATTACACGGGTAAAGTAGCAAATGATGCGACCGCAGCGCAACCATTTAATCGCGTGACTCTATTCCGGACCATTTTAGAGTTTGTCTCTTTATTCTAGATTTTTTATAGCCCTTATAGATCTAACACTGAGTCTTGTTAACAGCCCACCAAATCTACATCGATATCAATATTATTATTTGTATTGATAAAATTACTTTATAATATGTGTCAGCAAATTCAAATTTATGATCTTCTAAATTCTAATCTAAACTAGAATTTAATTTTAATATATTTATATAAATACAAAATACTTAAATACCCAATACTTTCTCAGTACCCACTATATTATAGGTACATCAACTTATTTTAGCTGTGAGACAAATGTATCACAATAACCTCTCACACCACCACTGATTGGTTCTACAATAGTTGTACAACAAAATATATTTTATAGTGTTTTCGTTATAATTCGTTATAATTCAATCGTTATGATAAACGTACCTATATAATATTTAATATATAATATTTATTAGTTAATTTTAAACTTTTTTAATTATTAATAATATAAGAATGTTAATTATTAAAATAAAATAAATAGTGTCACAAATTATAAAATATAACAGACTGGAAAACCCAACCATCTCTCATTTATTTCTCATACGTATATATAAGGCATTTTTCATTTTTCCATCCCCGTACTTAAAATTCACGCAGTGTGGTTTAGTTTCCATGGTCGTTTTACAAACCTCAAAACATATTTTATGGTATATAGGAGGTACCTATAACAATAAAAACAATGCACAAAGCGCTACAGACCCACTAAAATTATTCTCTAGTTTACTTCATTAAGCTCCGTATAATATAAGCTTGTTAAAACGATATTTATAAATTATTATATCGTAGGCATTTATTTTACAATGTCTTAAAATGGAAATGTAATACAAGAATGTGTAGAATCATAAAAAAAAAATCAGATTAAAATGTATACACAAAAACACTACTGCAGTTACTAATTAATTCCGAAATTGATCACATTTTTACAAAAATTATTTTTCTGAAAATATAAAAACCATGTGCATGTTTAGATCAAGATTTTTGTTGTGGGATGAAAACACCTCAAGATGTGAGAGTGATACTTCCTTCGGCCAACAGACATCCTATCCGTAAAGGTATGTGCCTATAAACATCATACATTTGTTCAACATAACAATCATATTATAATACATGGTCATAACATGCATTTCTAGGGCCTTTATTAGTAAATGTCAGTGTGCTATTACTCAGCCTGGCCTCACCCGACGAGTCTAGTTTGGTAAGGAAAAACATTTAATACAAATCGATCGTTTTAATGATATGCACGTCCGCGGCACGCCCATTTGCCTACATGAATGCTCATAATATTTCGTTTGTTTCGTCTAGAAATACGAGGTTGAATTTTTACTGCAACAACAATGGTATGACCCTCGTTTGCGGTACTCGAACCAAAGCAGGTATGATTTTCTAAATGCTATTCACCACCACGGGGATATTTGGGTCCCGGACACGTATTTCATCATGCACGGCGATTTCAAAGCATCGCTAATACCAGTACACTTTTCTCTGAGGATCTACAGAAACGGCAGTGTCCATTATTTAATGAGGTAATTATGACCGTACATCACCACTCCCGCCCCGGCCCCATTTCAAATGTCAAATATTATGGGATATCGCTGGCTGGCTGGTGAAGTTTTGTAGTTGAATTGTTAGTATGCCCATGTTATAGTTGTAATAGAATAGGGTTTCCCGCACATTCGTTAGATCATGACCGGTAATAAACATGTTCTCACACCAGCATCCTCGCATCCCGTGGGCTGTACAATGTTCCAAAGAAGCTCCACCAGCCGGTAAACCGCCGAAGTTGGTAAATTTAATTTGCGTACCCACAACTACGAAACTTCGAAAAGCGGCCATTTATTAGTTTATTACTAACATGCGTATTGTCCAATGATAAAATACGTTTAGAAAAAAAATTGACAATTTTTTCAGACGCCATTTGATCCTGTCTTGCCAGGGTATATTGAACATATTTCCGTTTGATGATCCTCAGTGCACGTTTTCAATGGAAAGCAGTAAATATTTTATTTTCATAACGTTTATATTATTAAGTGACAAATAAAATAACAAATTGATTTTCGTAAACAAGGTACGACGATCCGAATTATATCTTGTTTTTACGACACAACTCATCATAAAAGTTATTGGTTGGTTTTCATTGAAGTAATGAAGTGTGACTTAATAAAACGTATTTTTATGAGATGAAAAAGTCGTAAATACGATTAATGTTATGTTATATATTTCATTTTTGTGCGTACAGGGACGAAATTGCATTTTTTTTTTTTTTTTATCACTTTTGATTGTCATCTATTCTGTTTAGTATCATATGAAATGTCAGCTATAAAATATGTGTGGAAAAATGATGAAAGCACTTTGAAGAAGTCACCATCGTTAAAAACTTTAAATGCATACTTAGACCGAAATCATACAACTGAATGCCCATCAACTGGCAGTTGGAGAGGTAAAATAGTATATTTTATGTTTATGATTATAAATGTACGGTATTATCGATATTTAACTATTATTATTTCAGAGAAATATCGGCGTGCTTTAAATTAAAACTAAATGGCCAAAACGTAATTTATTATTTTGCTATTTGGTAAATAAAATATTGCCGTCTATAACACGAATTACGTTTAGATTACACACATATGATAAAATAATTACCATTTTTCCGCGTGTCATCAACTATCATTGTAGCAAAAAATATGGGAAACATAAAAATCCGTCCATAATTTCTCTTTAAAACAAAAACGTTAAAAATTAATTTTATAGAGAATTTAATACTATAATAATACACAAACAAATCAATAACATAGAGGTACATTTAAATTTTAAAGAACTTCAAACATTTTATGTCATAAAAATACTTGTTTAATTTATTTAAACTATGTACTGTCCGTTTGTAATAAATTATTATTAATCAATATTTTATTTCTTGTAATTTGTGTTATGTCAAAAAATATGGTAGTTTTTTTACTATATGTCTTTAATATTATCTATTTTATGTGAGTTAAGTAGGTATTATATTACTATGGATTATAATGTTTAAATACATAATGTTGACATATAGTTAATTATTTATAGGTAATTATAGCTGTCTTGAAGTGAATTTGATTTTTACCAGAGACAGAGCATTCTATTTTACTACGGTTTTCATACCTGGTATAATATTGGTGACTTCATCATTCATCACGTTCTTTCTTGAATGGAATGCAGTGCCGGCAAGAGTAATGATAGGTATTTTATTTTAATCTACCTTAACTATATTATTTCATTCAAAAGTCCAAGTGAAGTATCCTCCATTTTTAATAATAAAGTTTACAACAATCATTAAATGAAATATTTTTGGAATTTATAATATTTATATGTATGCAATATTGTAATTAAGGATTTGTTTAAACAGCATATTATTATTAAAACAGTATTTAATAATTACATAATTTTCAACAATTACTTCCAGTATTAATTTTAGTTATACATTGAATCAACAAAGCATGAAATAATGCTTATAAATAAAATAAATTCAATTTTTTATAAATAAAATCGTGTACCACAAATAATAATATTGGTAATAATTTTGGTTTTATTCAACCGAAATTCGATTGCAATTGAAATTCAGATTGAAAATCAGATTGAAAATCTTGATTTTAAAGGATGTAATTTTTCAAATTTTGTTTATCTCAGTAACACATTTTTGAGTAGGTAAAAAGAGTAATTCTTCATTTTCATGTATAAGTATTGGTAGTTTGGTACCCCTATAAATGTGTCCTTACACATTATAATTGATTTTAATCGGTGAAATAATACTTAAAGAGGTTGTACCACAATAGTTGTTTTTAAGAACTAAGTGGCTCCTTAAATGTATTAAAACGATTATTTACCACTAACTAACTTTATAACATATTAACATGGTGTATTTTAGGTGTAACTACAATGTTGAATTTTTTCACTACATCGAACGGTTTCCGAAGTACTCTGCCAGTGGTATCAAATTTAACAGCCATGAACGTTTGGGATGGCGTGTGTATGTGTTGTATATACGCCAGTTTATTGGAGTTCGTGTTAGTAAACTACGTGGGACGAAAACGTTCAGACTGGCCGTTACCAATTGTATACCAGAATAAAGATCAAGACTACAAACAAATAACGCAAGTAAGGTTTCATTATACTTCGTTTTTATTTTTATATTGTATTCGCATAGTATACGTATCATATTCCGGCAACACTTACCTACTTATATTATCGTATGGAAGTTAACTCCTTTAAAATATCAATGCTCTAATTATTCAAGCATTATAATAATATGTATGTTGCTCCTGGAAAGTTAAATATCGTTAATTTTGTTTGGTGATAAGCATCTATTATTTATAAGTTATGACTTATATGAGTTATGGCCCATTAGTAATTAAATATTATAGAATATAGGTACTCGAGTTTAGAGATAGATTCCTAACTAGAAGTGTATGAAGCACACCAAGCCGTCCTTTATTACTTAGGTACATCTATTATTTACTGATATTTTATTCAATTTTACTTCATTTTATATATTAAAAGTATATGTATTATAAAAACATAACACCTGACTGTAATTACAATAATTGATCTTACATAATATAATTGTATTTTAGCAACCCCGAGTAATTATCTCCCCCAAGGCCCAAACACGGATGAAATTTTTTTTAATCGATTAGAAATGCATTTAGAACACCCCTCTGTACTACACATTTTATTATTAAACGAAAAAAAATATATTCAAAAGAGACATAAACTATTAAATTATTATGCTTTTTATTATAAACAGATATCATTTGAATAGAGCAGTATTATTATAGAAGTTCTATATTATATAGGCACACGAAGTATTCGGATACAACCGTATAATAGTATATGAATATATTATATAATAACTTGAAGATGGCTAAGGGAAATAAAATCGAACCTGCCTCATATTTTTTCATAATATAATAACCTACATTTATACTAGGTAGGCAGGTATATTTTTAAACAAAAAATATTAATAATAATAATAAACAAATCTAAAACTACCGAGGTGTGTAAAAGAATAAATGTGTCACAAAGACTTTTTGCTTGAAAATATCGTACAATAAGGTTATCACCTACATTTGCATTTTAATATAAAAGTGATAAAAATACTATATGCGACTATCCTCTTGTCTAGAAAGTTCGTGTGTTATATTATACTTTATCCTGTTATGACATAATAATAACTTTATGAAACTTATAATGTCGCCCCGGTAAACATTTGCACACACGTTTTTCACAATATGTATATTATATACGTAATATAAACTCCACACCTGAAGACATCACAATTACATTAGACGTCTGTCTTCATTTATAAAAGTCGTTTTAGCGATATTGTGTGCAGACGTGCAGTGTATTTTTAATTTATCAGATGCGTGGTTTGATATTAATATTCTAATCCGCTCGGAGATGAATGCAAGATAATTTTATAGGGGGTGTTACGATTATATTATTTCACACATTTATCAGATACAAAATTGATAATACATAATATAACTTCTTGCTGAATAACAATAAAGGTCAATACGTGCGAAGGAGCTCATAAGCACTCCCCCCCCCCCCCAATGTATGTACTGCAAATGTTGGTTATTTCATCAACACTAACGTTGTAAATCGTATTTTGTACTTACTTTGCATATAATAGAAACCAGAAAAATATTCAAATGCATGAATATATTCTCGCTCTAGTTATCACTCATCTGCAATCTTCACTTATCACACATCGATGAAACAATTAATGTAACGGCCGCTGCTTAGATACCTAGGTACCTAATACCTATTGTTTATATTGTTATTATTATTTATGATACTGTATGACGCCCTTACATCTATAAATAAATTTAGTTGATTGATTAATTCCAAATATACAGGTAATATACATTTTACATTAATTACATTTATCAATAACAAAATTAGTACAAAAGTCTGATCACGCATATATTGAGTTCGGTGTATAAATTAAGAAACGTCTCTTCAGTACAATATACTAATAGTGGGTGCATAATATACATATTGTATTATTATTTAGGATCTATACTGTATGTTGGTATATATTATGTATAATATTATAAATTCTAACAAAATTCGACCATAAAAATGTAAATAGGTACCTATAATAGGCAATTCAGTCTATAACATAGCATCATAATAATATGTACTTACCTATATTATATGCAATGTACAAAGTTATATAATTATTGTTAAAAACGTAAACGCCTTTTGAATGCACTTCGGCTTTATTTCGTTTTTTTTTTTTTACACAAAATACTACAAAATAAAAGCTGATAAATTTGTTTTCTCGATATTCCCACAGCGTTACTTAAATCGACAAGATGCAAATCAGATTAGTTATGAAAGTTATGTGGATAACGAAAAATATTCAATATACGTAAGATTTTGGATAATATAATTAAGTAATATTGGAAGAAATCGGATACAATGTATTTATGTATACCGTATTCCCGATGTAGTATAATATTATGATAAATGCCCTGCAGTAGAAATAATTACTGATTTAAGCAACAAAAAAACTTTTATGCAGCATATTATTATTTAGCAAGCTTACTTAAAATATCACAGGCATACATCCTTAATAACGCTGTATGTAATTTATGGCATATATGCTTGATTCAAATTTTAATAAATAACACATATTATTTATTGACTTAGAAGTATTTTACATTGTACAATGTAAACACATGTAAATCGTAGATGGATGTTGGCCTTAATGAACGTTAAACTTGGGTACCTATTGCGAGACGGAAACTATATTTTTAAACCATTTCCCGTTGTTTTTTTTTTTAGGTACGTACTTCATGTACAAAATATGTACAATTATTTGATTAAAATTATTCAATATCTGATTTTGTCTCGGATGTTGATTACCTGCATATTTAAAATACAAATAAAATATCGTTAGCAGTCGTTTCGCTCATTTCGAACCTTTTTATTACCTACCCTAGTCCCTAATTTATATTTTTGGAATTAGTTTTCAGAACTTAATTTAAAATATTTACTTAGAGTACCTATATATTTTATAAATTATTCGATTTTATATTGTCGAAATTGTTTTTCGTGGATATTAAATAATGACCAGACGTATATTTTATAATTATACGAGAAAAAAAATAACTCACTTATTATATGCAGGGTAAATTCTACAAATAAGACCTACTTGTTTGTGCATCATATACTCTGATTTCCCAAGGACTATTGGTTTTCAATTCAAATCAAATATTTTCATGATCAATAATATGACGTACCTACCAATAATACAAATAATTAATTTGTTATTTTATAATAATATTATATGTTGATAATAAAAAGTACCTAGACCTTAGTTGTTGCGGCTCAAATTAATAAAAAAAAAAAAAAAAAAAGTACCTATAAGTATTTTTGTATATTGCCAACATTTATAGCCACACAATATTTTATTCATAATCACTAATCACAAATTATGTAATAATAAATAAGTACACTTATAATATAAAATAGATAGGTTGCTACTTATTATTGTCATTTTTTTTATTCTTGGTATTAAATATTAATATTAATACAATATTATGGTTGAATACAATGGTTTTTATAAATTAAGACATTAAATTGTACATATCAATATGTTTGAGAAATGAGATCATTTTGTTGATACTGTCTTCGATTGAGCTAAGAGCTTTAAATATATTTTCGGGCATTCGGGCATGCCTAGGCTTTTATAGTATAAAATTAAGTTTTTGAATTAAAACAATTACAGATCAAATGTTGTCATGTTGATATATTTTAGATCATATTAAAATATAACATTATATAAAATCATAACATACATTAGTTAAATCTGTACACGACAAAATTAACAGAATAATACATAAATAGGTAACAATAAAATTCCACAGAAAAATATATTACTATTAATTGTTAATAGTTTAATTTATTTAATACCATCTTACTCATATTCGTATGAATACATTAACCGAAATATAAAGCACTGAGCAAGATATATAACTTAATAATAAAGTAAAGATGTGTGTAAGCCAAAAAAAAATATTAATTTATATAGGTAACTTGTAAGCTAAGTTAATACAATAATAAATTAATATATTTATAGGTATAATAATATAAATCACATTTATTTATTTTTGATCAAGTTACGAATTATAGCGATAATTATAAATATGATTAGGTATTAGTTAGTTCAAAATAGATATCAGTATAAAATCACCAATTATAAAAATGAAGAAATTTCAATCACTTATACAATACCTACATAACAGTGCCGAATAAAAATGTGGCTTTCATAGATATTAAATTTTATAGAAGAAAAATCTCAAACGTTTTTTCTTATTTATTACTTATATTTAATATGTATAAAATATAAATACTGTATAGTATTTTAGGACGTATATTATCTTTCAAATAAAATAATTAATAGTATTTATAGTATTTTACCTATTTTACTTGAACAATATTTTTCTATAATTTGAAACTGTATTTCACCTAGGTAGGTACGGAAAAAAACATCATAAATCATAAACCATGTATACGATATGTGTGCGCTTAAATATAAAGCTACTAGTAATAAACTACTTCCATTTACCTAAAGGGAAAGCAAATTTTCCACATAATATTTCCGCAAGGAATAATTATAATAATATACTTTCTGGGGTACACTGTGTACAATATAACTGACAAAGGTCAGATCTACCACAATCGCAATGGCGGTAGTGTGCGTTATTCCGTATTCGACCTATCCAAACCACTATACCTCCATTGCTGTAAAGGAGCACATAATATTATATATACGCCCGTGCGATTTTGGAACAGTTTTTGTAAAACATATTTCTATATTAAAGTTTTAAGTACCTATTTAATTATCAAGCCGTAATGGCCAATTGACAACAGCTCTTATTTAAAACTTCAAAAATTATTCTTTCTCTATTATTTTTCTCCTGCTTAAAACAATTTATGTTATAACTTAAGGCGGCTCTTAGTGGCTATTATTTAAGGGGAACAATTTAGGCAATTTCTAATCTTGTCCTCACCGCCCGTAATCTATGTGTTAGTCGTAAATGATTATTAGTGTGAAATTCGAAGAAAGTCGAACTCGATAACAATAGATTTTATATCGCCCGGCTGCGGGCACACGGTTCAATAGCACACGTACGCGCATGCACAAGTCAACGTAATCACTCTCGAAAAATATTTTTGTACACTCATAACAGTGAAAAATGCTAATAAGCTGGCGAAAAATACACATACTTCTAGTAGTCCAATTTCAATTTCGAAAAATTATTTGAATTCGTCAGCCTCTTTTCTATGATTTGTAGGAATCCGATTTTGGATATTTTAGATAATTTACGTATATTACGGTTCCAAATGACTGCTTGATTTCTCAAATTTAACTTGCACTTTTAAGTGCTAACTAGACAAAAAGATGAAAAAGTTTTCCCTACAGATCATAGAAAAGAGGCTAAAGAATTCAAATAAGTATTCAAAATTAAAATTTGACTACTAGAAGTATGTGTATTTTTCGCTAGCTTATTGGTCTAAATGCATGAAAAATCCAATCGTTTAGAGCCGCCTTAAAACAGTCGACACATTTCAATGTGATGAATAAGGCAAATCCTTCAAATAATAATATGTTTACCATCCTTTAATTTTCGTTTACAATTAATGCTAAGTGAAGGTGATCGACTATACATTTTCCGTTCCGTTTTATATATATTTTTGGTTAGTTTATTCTGAACTGCAAGGGCGAGTTAGATTTTTATTTCAATTTCATCTTGTTCGTTTACTGCCTGAGTGAACGGTAGAATACAATATGAGTAGATACTTCACATTTTCACAAATAGATGGATACATCATTCTAGTTTTATCTTTTATATAGTATATATTGTTTCATTTATGAGAACTAAAGAAACACTCTAAAATGTAAAATGATCAGTAACCGAATATCGTATTAGTATTGCAAAATATGACTATATAAATAGTTGTGTTATTGTCTTACTGAGCTTAAAATTATAAAATTACGAACTATAAAAAGTGACCTATTGCAACTACCTATACTAACCGTTCAAAATTAATTTGCATTCTCTAAATAATTTTCCATTTTCATTATTATGCATACGATCATGAAGTAGATAAATGTAATTATAATATATTTTATTGTATTTACACACCTACTTATAACATTTTTTTTTCTATAATTATTAATTAAATGCAATACATATTTTAGTGCCCATAACATTTTATTGAAACCCTACCAGAGTTAATATTATTTTATATAGTAATAATTTATTGCATTACTCTTGTTTTCATTTAGAGTGACAAGACCCAAGGGGAATGTTCCAGTTGTGGGCAAGGGGCGTGCACACATTCGTTATTACACAACACCTGCCCATCAAAAACAGTATGTACACTTTTGCAATAAACGTGTAAAAACGTTTATTAGAATAATTTAAAGTTTCAACTAAAGAAAAAAAAATGCTTTGTTTTTGCAACAGATATATTAAATTAAATTATTAAATAGCGTGCCGTGGATAATTTAAATTTAATACCTGTGTGATTAGTATTGGTGAATAAGCTATTTATTATTTATGTTATAATATAAGGTTTATTTACAAAGAAAATTGAGATTTACTATACAGTATACATATTACCATATATAGGTACATAAATACAATACTGTGGGTTAAAATACAGTTGCATTTATCAATTTGTAAATCAGTATATTTCTTTGACGGGAAATCGTTGCATACCTATATATAAGTATAATAATAATTAATATAATTATAATATAATTGATTTCCACATGACATTACCCATACCTACAGTTTTTTCAGTTTTCATGTTATGCATTTGAAAATGAAACTAAAACTTATACTAGAAAGATTTTGATATTTTTTACCTTATATTATATTCTTCAGCTAAATAATTGTTATTACCTACTTATTCTATGTATGACTTAGCCCAGCAGTTCTTAAACTGTGTTCCATGGCCCCCTGGGGTCCGTAACACTCATGACAGGGTCCACGGCGCAATGAAGTAAATCTTTAAAAGTTTTAATTCTATTCCCTACAACTTATTTATGCGAAATAGCCTCTCCGCTGTAATTTATATATTAAAAACAAGTTTCGAAACTGCATACAACACCTAGGATCCGAACTACGATTAAAACTTTGGAGTATTGAATCTGATGTTCAAAAACTGATGTCCGAAATGCAACACCGCCTTTTGAAAATTATACGACATTTTTCTAGCACTCTAACTCGAAAAAAGGTTCACGGAGGAGTAATATAATACATAACAATATATTACAAAGTTTCAAAACAATCGATGTTCAAAATATTTTGCCCATCTTAATTCCAAACCCGTCATAATAATACATAAAAATGATTGTATAGTCGATTTAATTGTACGGTATAATAATAATAATAATAATAAATGTAAAAAAAAACTTACCTTTTGAATAGTCAAATTATAATAATATTGTGTTATATTTTATTCAGGAAGAGCAAAACATCAGAAGCAACGGCGGCAACAAACGTAAAATGCCGCCACACCCGATACGGATCGCCAAGACCATCGACGTTATCGCTCGCATCACATTTCCTACGGCATACGCAGTGTTTCTGATATTCTTCTTCATTCATTACACTAGTCATCCAAGCCATTGGTCCCAGTAGACATATTATTATGTATTATACGGGTGGCTCAAGAAGCTCAACGTTTATATATAGCAATATAATAATAATTTAATATAAATTTATTCTAAATACGATCAATAACGGTATTGTTTACAACTTCGCATTGGACTAATAAATTCAGGGGTCCAGTAAAATTGTTCTAGATCTATATAGAAACGAAATTAATTAGGATTGATGAAATAAATCTCATACCATGGACAAAAAAACATTTATAAAATGTAACGATATTTGGTTAGGTAGGTATAGGTATAGGTACGGTTGGTTAGGTAAAATTTACTGTGTAAATTATTAGGAAAAATAAAAACCCAAATATTTTTTATTATTTTTAATTCTATTATTCATAAAATCGACAAATATTTCTTAACTGTAGCGTGGCCATTGAACTTCTAAATAATTTTGGTACTGTGGATATCTTTCTCGTGTAGGTACCTATGTGTGTAACCATCAAGAGATATGTTAGCATTATAATCAAGTTATGATTTCAGAACTCACTCAAAGAAAAAAAACTATTTTCAATTATAAGAAGCGTTAAATTACCGCCAAAAAAAATATCAACTGGAAAATAATCCGACCAGCCTTATAGTTTAGTTGAAAAAAAATTAAACAAATCATATTATAATATATTATTATATTATGTTTTGTATTGCCTATATGCGTTTATTGTTTAATAAATCACCGCGATGTCGATATAATAATATTATATTGTAGGTACCTACTTATGAAGATTTTTTTTCCGTTGTCTGAGATTTATTTTTTCAAGATTTTTTATCCAATAGGAACCAATAATTATGTAATATCATTCATATAATAAATATAATACTATCAGATATTCCGGCAAATGGTAGGAAGTTGGCGTGCAGTATTTTTGTGATCGTACAGTGCAGAAGTTATCGAACGACAGTTGTAGTTGTTGTGTGTAGGTACAGATATCAACGCATTGGACGCATTGACTTCTTTAACTATTATAAGTGCAATGTGCATAAGTGCATAATATTATAACGGTTTAGGTTACGGGTAGGTGTACTACACGGATATTCTATAGACTTCAAGATATAATATTCACGTATTTTGTACATTTTACACTCATGTGATATTTTAGTAGCATTTGTTCGTTCATTCTTATTGTACCTATTAGGTATACTACTATTGTTTTTCTTTTGACAATAAGTAACTTTTTTAGGATTGTAAATTATAATTCGCATAAGGTAAATCATAATATTGCCCCCGTATTTTCATACACTAACATGTCTTGGTACATGTTAGCGTTTTACTGTGTCTGTTTGAAAGTAACAATTAATAATAATGTCTCTTGGACATATTATTATTATACCTAGTAACATTTTTTCTATGTATTCTTGTGCAACATTTATATGATTTATGAATCATGGAAGTATACTTATGCTTACTTACCATGGTATCAACAAATATTTATCATCCAAATGTGATATGTAACTACTACATTCCATGGTTCTACAGTTGTACGAACGATACTAAAAACAACAAAAAAATGTCATTAAAGTTTACCAGTAGATATATATTATCTAAATATCTCAATGGTACATTTCACCGTAACGTAGGTACATTTCCTAAGATTAATGAAAAAAAATGTAACGTAAAACTGAAACGCGCCTAATCGAAATGTTTGATCGTATTCGTATGGAAATGGCCACATAAAGTCGTGGACCATAAAATTATATTTACTTGTAGACAACCGTTGAAGAATATACAGGTAAAACATACTATAGGCTGTCTTCAAAATATTTTATTATGCTAATATTATAGGTACCTATATTAATTATACATGTATACAGTATTCTATAATAGAATAACAATAATTGATCCGATACGAAATTGTTACAATTTCTATTGGTTATTTTTTCATTAATCATCATAGCTCAATAATAGTTTGTATGAATATATATTGCGTTATTTATAGATGAAGATTTTATTAATAATTCTATTTCGATCTGTTAATACTTTCGGACAATCAGAACCGTGTATATTATAATATTGTGTACGTCTGGATCTTTTAACCGTTTCAAAATGATGCAGTAACTTAAGACACACATAGGTATATAGGCTAATAGGCGCATATTATATCAGAAATAATTCTAAATACAATTTTTTTTTTTAACAAACACATCGGGATTAGATTTTAAACTTTTTAAAATAATTTAAAACCACCTTATTCAAGCATCGTATAAAACGTAGGTTTATACAATTTACCTATACTTTTTACCGAATAGGTAGGTATAACGTAGTTACTCTCCGATATTTAAATTTCAAGTACAGGGTCTAGTGTTTATTTTTGCATCCAATATTTTCAAATTTTCAATAGACATAATCAATTATTTGGAAAACATAAATAAAGAAAATTATAGAACAATACTGTCAACCAAACCCACCACCACTGTACGTCCTGCATTAATGCCTATATAATATATTATGTACCTACTTAATGACTAACCACAATTTAAAAAAATATTCTTTTTGAAAAATAGTTTGGGGGTATAATCAAGAAATGTTTAAAAATGTTCCAACTTCCTTAATAATAAAGTTCGATTGTTTAGTTTAAAAATATTTATGCAACACATAGTGTACACAAGTTTCGTTAATACCTACGTTATTAATTTTGCTTCGGCTTTATGTAATAAAGTTGACAAACATTTTATTAATTCTAATTTTTTTCTAAATTTAAAATAGAATGTCGATTTTTAATTTTTATAATATAAGAAAACAATATGTAGGACGTAGATAGAATAGTATACGTTATATAAATATTGTATAATAATAATAATAATAATAATAATAATAACAATAATAATAATAATAAATTGTACTAGGCACTTATTTTTTGAACTACAAACGATGTACCTACCTACTCCTATAAATGCAATTTGCTACGTTTAAAAAAAATACATATACACGCACATTCAAATTGTACGGCAATTCACACAACATCTATTCATTCCTAACAAAACTGTAATTTTTGCCTTGTACTTCGACAGCTAGTATAAAAAATAATATCATTAATTTATAAATTGTTACAATAATAATCGTTATTTCAGATAGGTACTTTTTAATTATGACACAATATTTATGTGTACACTTATTGCCTTATTAGTTAATTCTATTTTATATATTTTTTATAACCACACATAATACAATTTTTTTTCATTCTGCGTTATCATTTATCGTTTTAGTCTTGTAGGTACATCTACGTGTTTTACAACAAGCTTTATTTTCCACCCCATGATTTGCCTTACTTGGCATTTCACAGATATTCAAACCTCAAGGAATATAATACAGTATTCGATTTCAGGAGCCATACTAGTTCAAAACACGGGAAATCACTTTAAAAAAAATGAACTTTTGGCTTTAAAAGGTCAACTGCTATACAATTTACATGCACCCCGTGTTGTAAATTATACGTCTAAAATATTCTTTATCAGCCGTGGTGCACATGAAAAATTATACATAAATCACTTTCTGTGTATGACACAAATTATATATATTTTTTTTTTGCCATCTTCTTGGCGAAAATTACGTAGTAGGTAGGTACCAAAGTCTTAAAACATTAGTTTGTAATAACTAATAATATATTTTAGACTTTAGAGTATAAATCATAAAAATTCTTGTAATAGATTTATTCAATTAAAATCAATACAGTTTTAAAAACTTTATATTCATCATATTATTAAACACTAATTTTCGTGCATAGATATGACGTACATAATATTTTGAACACACGAAAATATAAAAACTATAAAATAGGTAGTCTAATACAGAACTCGTATCATAGCCTCTTGGCTTTTATATTATTAAATAACTTATGTAAACACACGTCATGTACTCGTGTACCTACCTACTTACGTTCAAAAAGATATAAAATAACCTAGGTATTAAATACCTAATAGTTTTCGTTTTTTATAACCTACCTATTTCTATTTAAGCCGTCGAGGTAGGCACGTCGACATTTAGAATTTCAAAATGTAATATAGCCATACCATTTAGTATTTTACCACTTCAGTGTATGCCGTTATATTTACTTGGTTTCAAAAACGGCTTAGGTACCAGGTACATTTTTAGGTTACCTAGGTAGGTACCCCATTACAATTGTTTTCGTTGTGTTATGTATTTTCGTAACTTTATTGAATTTCTAGTGTAAAGCAATATGAATTGTACCTATATCAAAATCAACATTGTCATTGAATTTTTAATAAAACGATTTCTCATATTATAAGGTTAACACTTATTTATTTAAAATTTAAATATTTTTATATTTTTAGATAGGTACCTATATAATATTTAATCAATAAAATAAACATGTAATATTATTATTATACTCAATAATCGTAATTGATTTTTTGTTTTGAAAATATTAAATAAATGTGTAACAATAAATAGGTAGGTTATAATACTTTTATTAAAAATTAACATTTTCCTAGTTATATTATTTCCATTTTCACAAAAGGTATTAAAGTGATTTTATTTATTATTTGTACAGCTAATAGGCAATTAAAACACTAAAGTGATAGGTATGCATAAATATTACAATTTGGAACCGTATGTGAATTATTTTCAATAACATAACCTAATATTCAGTAGGTATGTTGTTGTATAGGAACATTCTCGGAAATTATAAATTTAAATGTGCCTTCATACCTGTAGGTACCTATTATGTCGTAGGTAACTCGCAATGCTTCCAATGAAAGAATTATTATCGCTGACCGTCTCTCCTACGATACCCACCTATTGAAAAGTAACGGTTTTTATTACCATTTACTATTGTGTACACTACTCGGTTTTATGTAAACAAAATATATTATAGGTACAAAATTTACAATACAATAAAATAGATATATTGATCACTTTTTTCAATCATTAAGAACCTGATGTAGGAACTATTAGGTATATTGGTTGACTTACCTATGAAATGTGCTTTGGGTGGTACGGTGGTAGTCATCGTCATCGTCACT